CAGTCACACACTCAGCCTAAATACTTCACAGGGTTGTTGTAAGGATAAAATGGAGGGGAGGAGAACAATGTAAGCTGCTTTGAGTCCCCATTGTTGAAATTTTCAGAGGGTCCTAACAAAGGTATCACTGTAATATAACCAACATGGTCAATTATATTTCTACAGACAATGTCTCTCTATAGTCACTCATGCCATTGGTCTTTGTAGTCAGTCTTTTTCCACTTTAACAATAACATAGCATTTTTAATGTAAAATGTTGGGTATTGTGAATTCACACAACACCTATATTCCCTCTCAGCATCACAATCTAAGCCCTCCTCCACCTTCTCCTCTTCCTGCATGTTAGATACATTTACTCCACAACGGTCTCTCTTGCAGTGGTTTTGGAAGAAAGATGTGTTAATAGACTGGTCATAACAGTTCCCTTAAAAATGTGATAGAATGTTTAATCACACAATGGATGCGTCTGACCTTATACAATAGCTGCAATTTATACTCAGCAACACTGACTGCCTGGGTAAGCAATGATAGGGGAAGGGAACAGTGCACTGGCACTCTTTATTGCTATAATATATCATTTGTCATATCTCACAGGCTCAAAGAGCACATACATAACAATGTAGAAAGAAAACATAAGCTATTATAAACAGGGGGAAAGGATTTCTGACCACTTTTGTTTAGAATTCAGCAACACCGGTGTGGTGTAGTGGTTAGTGCATTGGATTAGGATTTTGGAGACCCAGGTTTAAACCCCCACTCTGCCATGGAAACTCACTGGGTGACCTTGGGACAGTCACAGTCTCAGCCTAACCTACCTCACAGGATTTGTGTGAGGATAATGATGTATGCTACTTGGGGTCACCACCACTGGTGAGAAAGGCAAGATATTAAAAAAAAATTAAAAATTCTAAGGCATTTTCAGCATTGGAATATTACAGGTACATGCATATACAGTCAAATACTTTACAACACCAGCCCCTGGGGGTGGGGGTCAGGACCAAAAACTGGATCAAGAATGAACCTATGGAACACTGAGCAAGGGCAACATCACTTCTTCTGTATTTGTTTTTAAAAGGCAGAGTAAAGAATGAGTAAAGCAGAAAGAAGGAAAGGTGCCACAGAAGCAGAGAAAAGAAAAAGTGATGGAATAGAGAGAAGCAGAGAAAAGAAAAAGTGATGGAATAGAGAAGCAGAAAGGGAGACACATATTAAAGAGGCTGCAATCCTAATAACACTTTCCTGGGACTAGGCCCCACTGAACAAAATGGGACTGACTTCTGAGTAGACCTCCTTAGACTTGCTCACTAAGTTGGTCTCAGATAGCCCCCAACTGCTGCAACTGTTCTCACTCAAGCCCTCACTAACAAATGAAAAGTGGGAAATGATGCAAGTTGCTTTGGGTCCCCATTAAGGAAAACGCCAACGTGGGGATCAGGGGGCTTGCCCTTCAATGGCTTGCCTCGTTTCTCCAAGGCCGGGGACAGAGGGTGGTGCTAGGGGAGCGGCAGTCCCGGAGGTGCCCGCTTGAGTGTGGGGTGCCTCAGAGGACTGTCCTTTCCCCGATGCTGTTTAACATATATATGCGCCCCCTCGCCCAGATTGTCCGGAGGTATGGGCTGGGGTGTCATCAATACGCAGATGACACCCAGCTGTATTTGATGTTGGCCGGCCGGTCGAACTCCGATCCAGAAGATCTGTACCTGGCTTTACAAGCCGTGGCTGGGTGGCTCAGGCTGAGCAGGCTGAAGTTAAACCCGGCGAAGACGGAGGTCCTGTGCTTGAGTCGGACCGGATCGGGGTTAGGGCTTCCACTCCCGACCTTCGATGGGGCACCTTTGGTGCCAGCTTCGGAGGTTAGGAGTTTGGGAGTGCTCCTGGACCCTACCTTAATGATGGAGGCCCAGGTAGCAGCCACTGCCAGATCGGCCTTTTATCATCTTCGGCTGATACGGCAGTTGGTTACTTTCCTTGACCGCAATGACCTAGCTACAGTGATCCATGCGACGGTCACCTTGAGGCTGGACTACTGCAACGCTCTCTACATGGGGCTGCCTTTGTCGCAAATCTGGAAGCTACAGCTGGTGAAGAATGCTGCGGCCAGGTTGTTGGTGGGCGTCCCGGGCTGGGAGCACACCCGACCTGTGCTGAAAGCGCTGCACTGGCTGCCTATAGCATACCGGATTCGCTTCAAAGTGCTGGTGCTTACCTTTAAAGCCCTACATGGCCAGGGTCCGACTTACCTGAGGGACCGCATTTCCCCATATATTCCCCAAAGAGCACTTCGGTCGGGGTCACAACACCGGCTGGTGACCCCAGGCCCTAAGGAGGCCAAGCTTGTGGCAACAAGGGCCAGGTCTTTTTCAGTGGCGGCTCCTACCTGGTGGAATGAGCTCCCGGAGGAGATCAGGGCCCTGCAGGACCTTGTGCAGTTCCGCAGGGCCTGCAAGATGGAGGTCTTCTGCCAAGCTTATGAGTAGGAGCCGCCACGGCCACTTACACCACCGCGCCTTTATAGAGAGAGACCACTGGAGGGGTTGGGTAACATCTTTCACCACCCCAGCCTTCCCCCCCTGCTACGCAAGATGTTGGGAGTTTATATGTGCATCCGTAGAATTGATTTTAAATTGTATTTTGTATTATGTAATTTTGTATACTGAATGCACTTGATGCCTTATGTGAGCTGCCCTGAGCCGTTCGCGGGGAGGGAGGGGTATAAATGTAATAAAATAAAATAAATAAAAGCATAGTAAAATAAGTAAGTGACAATGTAATGAATTGTAAAAGATAAGCTGTCATCTATATTGTGGCATTGCTGGGTTCAGGGAATATCTGGCAATACCTTCGAGGGGCTAGAACAGGAAGAACTTTAGAGAACACTAACAATAGCTTAAAACACGCTTATATGAACAGCCAGCTTAACAGACTCAAAGTCAGTCAAACCATTCCAAAAGACCTTCTACTTTTCCCTCAGCCCTAGAAACTTAAAATGTGCACAGAAGAGAAGATGGGGTGGGAGGAGGAAAAGGGATCAGTTTCTCAGGGAAAAAGTAAGAGTTGATATACAATTGTGCCCAAGTTGATCTCATTTTTTTAAAAAAAGGATCCCAACCTCCTCCCCGTAAAACTTCTGGCAGGACCCACTGCTGTCAGACTCACGCATTTGCTAGCACTCCACTGTACTCCCAGGTACAGTTACTACCCAGTACCACTAGAAAAAGGGCTGCAAGCAATGATGAGCGTCGGCAGTGGGAGAACTCACAAGCAGACAGGGGAAGGATAAGGCAGCTGGGAGGCAGGGAAGGAGGGCATGTGTGGGGGCCTGGTGGTGGGTATTAGTGGGGAACCTAGAGAACTCGCTGCCCAGGGCCCCTCAAAACCTGAAACTGGCCCATGGTTAATAGGGACAACTGGAGAATACATGACAATGAGAACCACTACAGTGCCACACGCAACACGGTTCACATACAAACACAAAACAAAGGAATCTTGCAGTACCAGAGTAAAGGATTTACAGTGCAATCCTATACAGAGTTACTCCAGTCTATACCCACTGAAATCAATGGACTAGAACCCATTTAATCAGATACCTGAAGCAAATCTTCACTTAACAGAGGGAAAAACGTTAAAAGTGGTGCTTAAAAGCCATTAAACGCAAGAGGTACAGTGTGGGACATTTCTGTGTAGAACTCAAAAGCACAAAAAATAAGCACGGAGACTATTCACGACACCTGTAACTGGAAAACTGTTCCCCTCAGTACAATCCTATGTAGAATTACTCCAGTCTAAGCCCGATGGTTTAAACGGGCTCAGAGTACAGTAACTCTTCATAAAATTGCAGTATAAAACATATACAATATACTAACGCACCTCCCCCCCCACTTAACACTTACCCAAACAGAAGCTAACTTTCCACACACCTGGACCCCGCCAGAACCACAGAAAGGGCATAACCCGGAAACAAACTTCACTCAGCCCCGGAAGTTTATCCAAATAATGACCGGCGGGAGAGGAGAGGCAGGGGCGGCCGCCGGCATCCTCTCCTCGCCCGCAGCCCGGCCCGAAGCAAGAAGGGGAAGCAAGAAGGGCAGGGGAAGGGAATCAAGGGTAGCACTGTGGGCCTGGCGGGGCTCGTGTGGCGAGGCAGGGAGCCAATCCCCGGGCCGCTGCTGGGCCGCCGGCCCAATCAGCGCCCCTGAGGGAAATCCCGCGTGTTAAACGCGGGAATCCCCGGCGGGTGGCGAGGCGCTTCTCCTCCTCCTCTGCAGCCTGCAGGTAGAGGGGTGGGGTGGGGGAGGCCGGCGGCGGCGAAGGCCGGGATGGGGTGGGGGAGGCCAGCG